AATCGAGGTTTTTAATCAGGTTCGACTCGCGTATTACCTCATTGGCATAAGAGTGAAAATCTTTTACGTTTCTCTCCATCCATTTAATAGAAAGTCTAGGATTATTTTCCTGGCACCCGGAAAGTCATTCACTTCTTCTGATTTAGACTTGTTAAAGGGCAAAGCACGAATTCTTGTTAGGCCTTCCGTTACATTTGTGGGTATGTGGTAGGGCGACTGTAAATATACTACCGACCTGTAGTTTACGTTCAGACTATGCAATTCCATCTTTTGCTTTTTATCGTTTTCTGTATAATCTATCCTCTACCCATACAGCCATTGAATTGCTGCGTCAAAGTCCACCGGGCACCTTCGTTGTGCGAAATAGTGGCAGTTTTGCTCGCTCATTTGGACTCGCTATCAAAGTCGACCGTTTACCGGACTCTCTGGCTTTGCACCAACGCTCCAGCCAATCAGGTGGGAATATTTTAATGCAAAATGCCAGCTGCATTTCCATAGCTTCTTGAACTTGCAATCATTCAAATCGTTTTTGGAGAAAACTTTTATCTGTACAAGGGCATAGTTATTACAGATGAGCCTTCACCAAAGAGCCCTGCAAAACTTTTTGCACCGAGAATTTTCATCATATTAATTTTGTCAACTTAAGACTTTATAAGTTAAATAAACTTGCAACAAATCTAGAAGGTTTCTATTATTTAATGAAAATAGGCGCTCTAATTCTTGAGAAGACTCCTTGAATTTGGCTCGAATGTCCACAGATTAAGCTTTTAATATATTTGTACTTACTACTTAAAGTAAGACAGTCTAAAATATTTAAATATTATACTGTCTTGGTTATAGACACGGATAACGAATTTGTACGGCACTATCTGATCGAGAGTCTCCCCGCCCGAGCTATAGCGCATTCTGTTGGAGTCTCCAGTCATCTGATTGCATCATCTTTCTCGCTCCATGCCGCCGGACCTCATACAACTCCCGATCCATCCGGACCACTTGGAGAAGTGCTGCTCGGCACACCTGTCCGGCTTCGCGGACCAGCACCCGAGGCAACATTCACCAATCTGGTCAGCTTCATATATGAACACTTGGCTGGTGTGCGTAGTTCGGCAGGAGATGACGAGTTTTCGCTGCCTTATCGGTTGCTGGCGCCATTCGAACTTGGGCTGTATGGACCAGGAGGGGCTTCCAGCCAACTGATTTCACTCATCTCCTTGGCATGTCTTCGTGGTTCTTCGGGTCAGATGTCAGGCGGAATGGCAAAAAGTGTGATACGTTCACATATTTTAACCACAAGAACCCTTATTTGATAATAATAAGCCTTGAAATGGCCTTAGTGCTTTACTATACCGAATAGGAAATGCAATATAACCCAGACTGTTTTAGACAACCTATTTTTAGCCTGTTCACATCAAGTTGAGTGTAAGTAGAGCGAGGTTAACCAACATAACAGCTCAGTTTAAGCATTAAATCTTGGAGCACCACTTTCTCTGAATTTAAATTTGGTTGTACCAGAGGACTATGAATTAATCTGCTACCAATTTCTGATTGGGTTTAGAATTCGACCTAGACATTGTTTTTATGATTTTTTTCTCGTTTGCCCTTTGAAATAAAAGTTTTCCTATTCCAAGCTTGAAGCATCACTTCATGGTCTTAATATAGATTTCAAAGAATGTCTCACTAAATTAATATTGTTGTATGCATCAAACTTCACACGAAACATAAGCCTTGCATGCAAGCAAGTTACGCGCAGACGAATACAAGTACATGCGTCAATATTGCAGGACTTGTTGAGGGGACAGTTGTTCGCTAACAAGTAGACCATCTGTGGCCAGTCCACTTATCTGCTGGCATAAAATAGGCAACAAAATGGTGAGATGCCCCATTAAGTGAGAAAATTTATGCTATAAAAAGTAGGACTTAGTCGGCCTAGTGATTTAACGCCTTAGGATATCAGTAGGTTTTACTTAACCTTGAAGATGTGAAGACCAAGATGTTGTGGCCTCGGGTATGGTCACTTAACCTTGCCTACTTATCTGAATGTGGGAAACTCATCCGTCGACCCTAGACTGGTTAAGTTCCTATTCAAGCATTATTTATTGTCTCTGAAACTACTTACATCGACCATACGGAATATTTTCGAAATAGGGTGAATACATCTCATATTACTGATTTACTGATAGTCTCGAAACTCTACTCTAATACGAAAACAAGTAACGTAATCGATTGCTATAGCAAATATACGTTTGCTTCATCAGCACTCCCCCCAAAGAATATGATATAGCAAGTAGGCCTGACCTTCCTTGAAATTCACTTATGCCCTCTGACTCAAGGTACTCGTGGCAGAGTAGCCGAGTGATTAGCGTGTCAAGCTCCCATCCTGCATTTTCGCGGTTCGACTCCCGCTGAGGGTGTTGATAAGACCGATTCGAGGTCGAGACTGCAGTCCACCCTGAATGAGAACAACTTATGGCAAAGACAGGCTATGTGAAATTCAATGGAAACGTCAGCTCAACTCATATCATTGTGGGAAAATTCTACTACCAGTCCGTCATCACCTTAGACCAAATAGGGTGAATACATCTCATATTACTGATTTACTGATAGTCTCGAAACTCTACTCTAATACGAAAATATATTTGCTTAATCGACAATCCCATTGTAGAATGTGAGTAGGATGAGGCCTGGCTTACCTTGGATACAAGAGATATCATTTGACACACCGGCACCCGCGTCTGTATAGTGGAATGGTAACTCATGTCTTCGTGATTGCGCCAAGTCTAGTTCTAGTAAAAGCTGCCGAAATTCGACTTCTTATTTTTGGTTTAGGTAGTATTCAGGATTATCAGTAATAATTGAATAAGAACTTAGTATATATCGTTTGAGGTTATACAAAAACTGATAGTTGATTACTCGCACGATTAAATGAGTATGGTATCGTTGGAACTTCTCACATGATTGTGGGAAAACTCAAATATCACTCCCGACAACCTAAGCCTATAAGTTCTAGTATACTTATTTATTAACTTATGATTTTTAAATATTTCACTCATAGTTTCGGAGCCTACTTGGAATAGATTTAAGTAACGTAGTTGATTTTAATGGCAAAACACAAGTTCACCTCATCGACAACATGAATGTGATATGGGACAGGACTGGCCTTCCTTGAGATTCACGTGTGCCCTGTGATCCAGAGCACTTGTTGCAGTATGGTGTAGTGGCAATTTATGTTATTGTGTTAAAATTTTTCTATTATTCTTTAATCACTTCATGCGACCGAGGGTAACCAGAGTTTAAATTCAAGATCTACTGATAGACTCTAAGCCATTTTTTATCATTTTTCGTGTACAAGTAGAGTTTCAAGGCTATCAGTAAATCAGTTATATGAGATATATTCACCATATTTCGTCAAAGGTGCTGAAGGACTGGTGGTATAATTTTCCCACAATGATATGAGTTGAGCTGACGTTTACATTGAATTTAACAGAGGCTTGCTTTCCCAAAAGTTGTTTTCATTCAGGCACTAATGGACTGCAGTTTCGACCTCGTATAGATTTTATCAACACTTCGACAGTACAGTATGTTAGCTTGACACGGTAACCACTCGGCCACATTCAGGGTAAGCGTCAGCTCTACTCATATCCTTGTGTGAAAATTCTACTACCAGTTCTTCATCACCTAAAGGAGATCGGGTGAACACATCTCATATAACTATTTTTTATTGTTCTACTGCTATAAATTTTATGAACAAGTGACTTTGTATCGCCCATTTTATACTGCATCAGGTCTGAGTCCTGGTCGGCCGGGCTTGTCCAACCACGCCGGCCATCATCTGCACCGCCAACCCTCCGATCCTTCCGCCTACCGCTCGCACCAGTACTCCACACATCAACACTCATATCCTCCAGGCCATGCCCAGTCCGGCGGTTCTGGACGCCCGCCGAGCGCTGTCCAACCGTCCGTCCACTCGCGTGCCTCGACCGGCGGTCACTCTCGTCCATCCGGTCAGTCCGGCCCGACCGGCTCCAGTCCCGGGCATTCGACCAACGCATCCGGCGGCTATCCGGCCGCCTCGGACACGATCCTTCCTCCCGGGTCGGGCTCCTTCTATCACACTCGACTCGGCCCGTCGGAACTCGCTTGCATTCAGCCGGGTAGTCTGACACCCGGCGGCCCTCGGGCCAGAGGCCAGCCGGGACTCGGTTCTAGACCGCTCGGCGGTCTCGGTAGTCCGAGCCAGCCAACTCCGGGTCAGCGAGGCCAGTCGATGCCCGCGGGCGTTTACACGTCCTCGGCCCTGGCCACCTCAGGGCAGAATGACGCTGAACTCGGACTCGGGCCTGGGGCTTATCCGGGACCGGTTGGACATAAGGGTATGCAGATAGCATTTTTGGGATGCTTTCGTAAGGGTTCGTGGGTAGATCCCACCGGAAGATGGCGGTTGGTTCCCATTCTTCAGAAGTCGCCTTATCCTACTACGAGGATAACTTTACGCAGTCTACGAGAGATCCTCCTCGGTTTTCGATGACTATAGATTAAAATTTCAGCTTGCAGAGTTATGCAAACTCGTAAGAAAGTGGGGATTCTGACACTATATTCAGTTATACCCTTTTTAGGGAGAACTATGACCAAGTTATATTTAGCTGAATAGACAAGAACCGAAGACGAAATTTAATGATTTAAAACACATTGGTTTGTTGAGTATGCGAGAGGCTAATAAAAGGATCATAATAAGGAATGTTTACTGTAAAGAATGGAGGTATGAGGTTAGGCAAGAACTACTTATTTTCGAGTCGAGTAGATAATTTTCAAACGAGATCCTAGTCAACTTAGATCGTTTAATCGAAGGTATGAAGACCAGGATGATGTAGCATTTTGTATGGTCGCGGTATCCATTCGTTGTTTTCGCAACTTGGTCATATTGGCAGGAAGACCTAGAGGAGTACATAGTATGCATGATAATTTCCACAGTCGGACCATGGACTTGGTACATTCACAGACGTTTCGCCGGTATCGTAGTCAAGACAAAGAGGCATAACCGTCTCGACAACAAGTTGATCAAGGCATTGACTTCACTTGTCTCTTTAACGAGTTGTAGCTCGGTTGCTGAGAATGGCAAAACTCATTGATTATGCCGACTACGATAGCGGCGAAATGTATGAGAATGTACCAAGTCCATGGTCCGACTCCGGACATGGGGCGTTTCTCTAGGTCTCCCTGCTAATTAGATCGCTTAAAGTGAAAAGCACTGATAACTGAATTGAATGACTAAGCCTTTTTTTAAGAATTCGGTATGCTTTATTGATAGATCTAGGGATAGAGAAGTTGTTGAGCCTTCTAGTGAATAAGACAACTTGCCTGAGTGACCCACCGGTGGTTCTAGTCACGTTCATATTTATCTCTGGCATCTCTTAAGCTCATCTCAACCAGACATATGTTTGGAATTATGCATACTCATTCATCTTTTTCTTTCTGTGGCCCTCTAACTACTCAGAGTTACGATTGGTGACTTCGAGCCCGAGCTGTACGCACAAACACACATATACACAGGGATGCTTATACCTTGATTGACATGAAAAATATTAATCAAATTATTCTACCCCTCTTTATATTCATTCGATTTTTTGGTTTTCGGATTTTTCTGAGACATGTCATGTAGCGTAACTGACAAAAGCTAGGCCTAATCCACACCTGTACCAAAGAAGAATGTCTGGCGGGCTACGTCGATCTGAGGACTGCGTAGTAACGGGAATTTGCCCTCGCCCTTTGAAGAGAGTTACTTTATCAGCTACTTTCACACGCAAAACTCCTTGCTCTTGTCTAATTGCTACTTTTCATATTGGATGCTTCATATGGAATTTACACTGTTTTTTTTGTGTTCGCATGCCTTCGACAATACCGGTCGACCGCAGAGGCTTGCGCAAATAGTTGTCATATTTCGTGTGCTGTTGGTAAAATTAATTTAATTTTCGCTAATTGATGCTTGAGCTTCGACTGGCTTTATTGGCTTTATTGGTGTGTTAACTTGAAGCCTTGGCCTAAATTGGTGTTAGAATTCCCGCCTTATAACTATAATTACCCATATTTAGCCTCTATTCTTTTTCCACTTTTCCGCATCGAATACCACTCGCTATACCTTCAATTCTGCCATTCAGCCATGATTGCAATTTATCTAGGCAGTATTGACTCGGAGAATCTGACGGGCACATCTGCTGTATCGAAGGCGGTGGACGTGCTCTTGGAGAATGCCGCACAGGTGAGTAGTTGTATGCCGTGCCACCTTGACCTGTGGTGTTGTATGATTTGCAGTAGGCATAGCATTATGTACTTTTGCTCAATTCCTGCTTTGCAAGAGGAAGCAAAGTGTGAAACCAAGTACAGATCGCGTCTTACTATGATCGAGAGGTTGTGCACGATTAATGGCTATTTGATTTTACATACCTTCTGTAGATCTTCGTGTTGGTGCAAATCTTCTGCATTGGAACATGAACCATTTTAGGTGAGATAAGAGTGCTGCTTGAATCTCATTGAATTGAGTAGAAGATCATCGGATTCTTTTGAATAACATTCAGTTCTGCCTCCACAAAGACTGTGTCATCCAAATCCGGATGGAAGAAGTGAACTAAATATGTAGAAAACTGGTTTTCGAAGAATCCCTTAATAAATTCATGTTGTAGTATTTTTTATTTCGTTCGAATTGAAAGGATTAGTAGTTTGGCCTCATCGGAAGCTGTAGCGGGACTGCCGTGAGTCTGGGCTTGTAGATTTGTGCGAATAGGTCCTCGGAGCATCGTCTTGAATAGAAGGAACGAGCTTAGGAAATTAAGTGGAAACTCCTTGTGGCCGTAAGATAAGATTTGAGAGAAATAGAGGGAACAACCTTGCTCCACGGCAATTCCCCTAGAGCCCCTAATGAGGCCAACTCGCTTCTTTAAACGAGCTACAAGGTACTCCAACACGAAAAGTGATGAAACTTCATTGCCTCAATAATAGCTCCAACTGGATTTGAGACCAAGCTGTGCGCATCCAGTGGCAACTTTATCCCTCAGCCAGGCAGCCACAGCTGTCAGTGGATAACGAGACGGATATGACTTTCAGCGCGATATCATTTTGCTACTAGGATTTTAGCACTTGTCGCTATTATATTCCGAATGAGTAGGTTTCGAAACTATCATTATATCATCTAAAATAACTCGACTTCTCTTCATTTCACCTTAGGAAATTCAAATCGGAATACTATTGCATGCATATATATATATATATATACGTATATTTGCGTATATATACATATGTGCATGTATATATTATAGTATTTACTCTAAACAGTTATATCTTGTCCAAAGATATCTGCTATATAATCACGCGTTTCGGTCGTTTTGTGTCTTGTCGTGTTGACCATTGGAATGGACATGCTGTGACGGCCAATCATATGACTTGGTTCGAGATTAGTTACTGCTGAATTACGAAGCTTTAAATCCAAGTAGTCACGAACACGCTCTAGTGGACTTGCTTGGAAATCTTTATTGCGTAATATTTTTAGTTCTGTTAAAATGAAGAAGAGGCAATACCGCCGGAGGTTGGCTCTGTGATAAAAATGGCTTGTCTTGCGAGCTCCTCTAAAAATGTATTTGATTCCGCCTAGGTTGTTTGTTTGTCAGAATGAGACCTTGGATCCTCGGTTGCACATCATTCACCACATCAACGGAATAGGTCTGCCTTCTTTTTCTTATTTACGTTTGTTACATTTGTATCACTCCTTTAACCTTTTCTTTCGATCTCCCCGAGCGACTTCAGGTGAAGCAAACGGAGGTCTCTCTTAAGGTTACTGGTGAAGGTCTTGTAGTCACAGACACTTGGCGGAAGCTGTTCTTCCGACGTCACTATCCTGGACATACAATCTCTTATTGCGGAGTCGACCCTCATCAGCGATGGTAAGCAGACTTGCCTACCTCTAATATAGAATATGAAATTCTAAAATATGCTACACTCCCCCTCCACTTTGTCCTATTTCATGTAAGTATTTAGGCCGGAATATATGATAGATTCCAGCTTCAGGTCTAGTAATAGCTA